AGTCTTGTTATCCAAGCTATCACTTAGATGGGAAGTCTACCGACAGCTTTGAAAGAACACAATGACATAAAATAAAGCTTTATGTACAAAATGTTCAATTTGAACTTGCATGTTCCTTGCATATTTTTGTTTGAGAAGTTGAAACCAAAGAAAACAACTAGGAAAATGAAAATCAACTTGCTCTACATATCTGGATTATGCTCTGCCAAATGTTGATATCATCTTGGATAAAAATGTAAATATGACAAAGTTTGTTTTTCAGTCAATAAGTCTTGATGAAAGCTTTGAAATACTACCAACCAAAAACAGTTTTTAATTTTAAGCAAGGGTCAGCAAACTTTTCCTACAAAGGACCAGTTAGTAAACATTTTTAAGTTCTGTGAGACACATATGGTCTCTGTTGCATATTCTTTGTTGTTTTGTTTTATTTTTTAATACGCTTTTTAAAAATGTGAAAACCATTCTTAGCCTGCGAACTGCACAAAAACAGGCTACAAGCCACAGCTGGTCCATGGGCTATAGTGTGCTAACCTCTGATTTTAAGGAAAGCGAAACTAAGAAAAATATGCAACGCTACACAATAAAACATCTAAAAGTGCTGCGATGAGACTGAGTTGCAACAATTACCAACATGCCCCTATTAGTATGATTTCATTAGTTATCTTGCACAAGGAAGAAATTTTAATGACAGGATGTATGAACTTTGATATCCTAACCTGAAACTACAGACACACACAGAAAGAAAGGGCAAAGGACAGCTCTGTGCTGACAGTTATCTCAGCATAAACTCCAATAGGACTCTGAGTCATTGTATTAACATTTACTATTTCCCTGAACAGACTTGGCTAATCAAAGTGAAATATCTTAACTTTCCTCACATAAAGACATATATACAAAATCCAATTCCTTCCCGGTAAAGGTGGTGACTTGAATTTATTGAGATGATCATACCAATCAGAAATAGCAGCAGCTCGATTGTGAAAAGTGACACAGACTTGGATTTGGGATTTCGCTAGAGGATCTGCTATAATCAGCTGTGTGATTTTGAGGGTGTCAACTAAACCTTCATTTTCTCATTTATAAAATTGGCATGGGGAATAAGGTAGATAATTTCTAAGACTCTTTGTGCTGTTAAACTATGACTACACTAAATAATGAAACCACTCAGGAAATACCTAACAGGAAGAGGGGGCAGGGCAGGGGAGAGATGTCAAAGGGAAGAAGCTCAGACTGTCCTGTTAGAGGTTACAGCTGGATTATCTCTTTTTATTCTACCAGCACCTTCTTCAGTACAGGGCCATTTCAAGATATTGGTATGCCCTTGTATCAATATTGAAATGCATCTACATCCCATAGGAATATAATATATAGATAACTGTGTTACCATTCCTAGTTGTTACATTTGTTACATTTTATAGCATTTAATTAAATGTTAATTGTGAATATGGGCTGGGCATGGTGGCTCATGCCTATAATCCTAACACTTTGTGAGGCCAAGGTGGGAGGACGGCTTGAGGCCAGGAGTTTGAGACCAGCCTGAGCAACAGAGCAAGACCCCATCTATACAAAAAATAGAAAAATTAGCCAGGCATGCTAGCATGCACCTGTAGTCCTAGCTACTCTGGAGGCTGTGGCAGGAAGATCATCTGAGCCCGGGAGTTTGAGACTGCAGTGAGCTATGATTATACCACTGCACTCTAGCCCAGGCAACAGAGTGAGACCCAGCCTCAAAAACAAAACAGGCTAACAAACAAAGAAATTATGATTATATAAGGATTTTTTTGGAGCCACTCAAAAAATTTTCAATTTTCAAACATTTGAGCTGAAAGACTAGTTGGTCCTATACACTGGGCCAGTAATTTCAAATGGATAAAACATCCTTACTCCACAGTTAAGAAATATTATCTGACTGATATACTGGAAAATCCCCAGTAAGTCAGATGAAAGAAAATCTACCTTCCACCACCCCAAAGAACAGAAAGGAAATGAGGGGACCCGGGACGTCAGAAAAGATAACAAGACCTTAGAGAAGTGAGAAGAACAAAGTATCTGTAAGACAACTATATCTGGAATCAAAACGACTAATTGTCTCCTTCCTCTCATGATGACAGAATCCCTATCAAAACGGTGTGTAAAGATGGCAGATTCACATTTTTAAAAAACTACTAAAACCTTGACAAAGCAAAATTAAGATTTAAAATGTGTCTTCATGGGAAGAAACTGACACGCATACATATCTACCAAAACACACACACACAAACCCCAGGCATTAAGAAATGGGTCTTTTCTGTGAAGTGGAGCTTATCAAGTTTTATCAGCTATGCTGTGGCAGATCTTGACAAAACCCAGTCAGAAGAGCCCAGGAACTCACGCACATAGGTACTTCAAGAAACAGTTTTGACTAGGGAGAAGATGGACCACCAAACAGCACCTCAACAATTTCAGATCACCTGAGGATGGGCTGAGGTGCTTAGGGGGAGTGGCTGTCAGAGATGTGAACACCCCAAGTCTCTGTTTATACCCGGTAAAGAGTCTGTGGAACTTTTCACTAGTATAGTCTTAACATTCATTTTATTTTCCCAGCTTAATTTCAACTGAAAAGCATTAGGTTTCAGGTACATAAATTCTTCTGTTTGAAGGCAGTGTGCTACCACTTCCTGTTGGAGCTCTGGGGCTAAAGAAGAGGCATGGGATTTCCCCTCCTCCACACCAACTGAAGACACAGCTCACAGCCTCTTTTTACCACAGACACCACACAGAAAATATAAAGACTAAGACTGCGCATGAGATTCACCCCCCCCCTTAACGTCTACCACCTATTCTAAATGGTTTCAAGACACTGGTTTTCATGCCTTAATAGCTGCAACCCTCCAAAGAACCTCATTTCAATCATTTTTTTAAAGATCCACTCAAGAAAGATTCTAATCCTTCAGAATGAAAAGTAATTTTTAAGAGCTACTATTTTAAAAGGAAGCAGAAACCCTTACATGAAATGTGGAACAAACGTTAAGGGAAAAGGAGAAAACTAATAAAAAAGTACAAACAAGCAAAAGTCATCCAAGGAGCTTAAGAGAGACAGCAAGAGTGAGATTCACTCACTTTCAAGGCAGGAGAAACTTCTGGGAGGGTCACATATAGAATGGACAAAAGGCCACGCACTCAACTTGTTAGACATCATCCTTTACCATCTGCACATCAGTATGCAGTCAACAATGAAGAAGAGTTAGTCGAGGGGTTGAAGTTAATACCAGTGTCAAAAATTAATGCCCTTTAGTTGTACCAGCTCCCACCAAATCTTTTAGGAATATGCTGGAGAGATGACATTTAAAATCTGCTTCCTCAGAAAAGAAAAAGTCCCACTCAAGACAGACTGCCAAGAACTTGCAACTCAAATTTCCCTAAGCCCAGACATCATAACACCCAGCAGGTTTTAGATCACCCAATCTGTATGAAAGAGGCCAGAACAAACAAACAAATCAAAATCTTTTCTAATACTTAAAGAGTGCACTGTACTCAAATATTCTTTTTTTTACAAAATGGTAAATTATCCTTAAAATACACAAACATTTAAACACACTTAGTACCAAAGCACTAGCTCCCTATTATTTCCCAACCCAGAAAGTCCTGGTAAAATCTGCTGTACCCAGACAACTAAAGCTGAGATTCTTAAGGTACTTAATTAACTGCAACTATTTAACAAGGGAAATGATGTTAAGGTCACTTATAAAGTAGCTTAAAATCAGCTTTGGCTCTTCAGTTTATGGCAAGTTAGAGGTCTTGTTACCTGAACACAATGTCTTCCAGTACAAACGTAGGAAGGACAGCTCCCAGCCCAGATTAGTAAAAACTCTTGAATCAATTGGAAGTAATTGGGAGGTATATCACATGTTGTGATTCATTTAACAAGCAGTAATTAGAACCAAAGCAAAATATACAGGGATGCAGGAAGGATGTAAGATAAGTTCCTTGGCTAAGTTATTAAACATTCAAGCCCCAAAACTTAAAATATTGAGAAGTGTTGCTTCTCAAGGTAGTGAAGGGGTAAACTATATTTTCCTGACCACATCATTCCCAAAAGTCACCAACTCTCTTAACATACATTAACACTCATGGAACAAATTAACAATACATAGAACAATTCCATTGTTAGTCACTTTTTGCTTTCTTCTGCATTTGATCCAGAGGAAGTAACAAAGAAATGGTAATCAGTGCTCCCAGTTACTGGAGCAAGTCCTTCACCCCACTACTTTCCATTTCCACTCCCTTTTTCCATCTCCTCTGTCTTCTCCGCTCAACCTCTCTTTACTATATATGCCGCTTCCTCTTTCCCTTTCTATCTCACGCCCAGCTCTTTACTTTCTCCACCAAGTATCCTCAATTCCGCCCTCTGGTCCTCTGAACTCTTCTCCCACCTGCAATTTTCTTCTGCCCCAGCTACGGCATCTCTGTCCAGACCTCTTGTGGCCAGTGTCCCCTCATTCCTTACCTCCTGATCTCTCACTCCCCTCAATTCCCTCCCGATCGCCTGGTTCTCGCCTCTTGTCCCTTGTGTCCTCTGTCCCTTTACTTCATGTCCCTCTCTTCCCCCCAACCCTTCGTTTCCCCCTTCACATTTCCTTCCTCTTTCCTGCCTTTTAATCCAGTTTCATATGCACTAGCCTCTTCTCTCTCTCTCCACGAGATTCCCCGTGTCCCCCTCACTTTGTCCCTCTAGACCCCTCCCTGTTGGCCCCCCGAACCTCTCGTTTGCCCAATACCCCTAGTCCTCGTTCCTCCCTTCCCCTTCCCGTTCCTTAGCCCCCAAGTTCCCCCTTCACCCCCAGCCTCACGTCCCCGCCCGCCCCTGTCCCCCACGCCTTCGCCCCCTCTCACTGCCCCGGCCGCCCCGCAGTCCCCGGGGTCCCCCTCCCGGGCTCCCAAACGCCCCCGCCCTCTCCGCGTCCCCTCGTACCCGCCCCCCAATCCTCGCCCCCCGTCCCGGGCCGCGGCCCCTCCCTCACCGATGGTTGAGATGAAGGTGGTGTTGAAGGCGTCCTCTGAGAAACGGAACAGGAGGCAGGTCTTGCCCACCCCCGAGTCGCCGATCAGCAGCAGCTTGAACAGATAATCGTACGTCTTCGCCATCTTCTCGCTCCGGCCCTCTGACCGGGGAGCGAGAGCAGGCGGCGGAGGGAGGCGGGGAGGCGGCCGCGGGCGAGGGGGCGTGCCCGCCAATCCGCCGCCACTCGCCCCGCCCCTTGCCCCGCCCCTCCTCTAGGAGACGGCCTGCGCGCCCCGCCCTGTGCAGCCAATCCGCGGGGTGTTCGTCATCACCGCCCGCGCCCCGGGGTTTTCATGGGACTTGTAGTTCCTCCGGGGAGACACGGGCGTGCCCGGCGCGGACTGTCCAGGCGGCCCCAGCTGATAAAAGATCCCGCTCTGGGCGGGATGACCGGGTGGATGAGGCGTTTCCACCCAGGCTGGAAAGGGAGGGCCCGTTTCGAACTCTGCTCGTGGCGCCTCCGGAACTTAACTTCGTCGTCTCTTTGTGTGCGGGCTCCTTTCAAATCGAGGACCTCAGAATCAGAGTCCCCGTAGTTCCCGCATCTCTTCCGCCGGGTCGGAGCGGAGACGCTTTCTTTCCCTGGCGCTGCTGTGGCGCAGCCTGCGGATTATCTGCGGGCTGTACCGCCCAGCTTCTCAGTGCCCGCCCAGCACCACCTCTAAGCCCCCTCCCGCAGCCCCTCGGTCACGGAGCTGGAGAAGAGTGATCACGGTGCTAACTTGAACCCCACTCGTGCCCCTTTCTTCCCGGCGCACAGACCGGGGCCAAATACGATGGGTATTTGGAGCATCTGCTACCCTGGTCCTCTCCCCGCAGAAGAACGGGTTAAAAAAAAAAAAATCTGGGAAGGCTTTTGCTACAAGTCTGTGCCCCTATAAAATTGCAAGCATCATATGAGGCGAGAACTAGGGCCAGGGGAACTTAGAATAAAATTTGGGTTTAGTCTTGGCCCTGCTGCTTAACCGCAGTCACGCAGGCTCTATACCTTTCAGTTTTCTCATCTGTAAGATGGATCTAAAACAAGCTACGTCATAGGGTTGTAGTGAAACTTGAATGAGATACCAAATCTGAAAGCACTTTGAAACCCATAAGGTTGGAGGTGATGGTTACATTCGTTATTTTTCAGTATGCTCTCACTTAACGGGTGACAAAGGAAGGGGGGCAACAGCATTCTGTTCTACTCAACTTAATCCTTTGTTATTTATTGTCTTATACTAATTCTTTATTTTGTGGATGTATTTTTCGGTCCTCTGGTTCGCCACTGGCAGAAACCCGACCAGATAAGCTCTCATGAAAGGGGCGTTTACTGGTTCACGTACTGTGAAAACGCAGTGCTAAGGTGTGAGTCGGGGAGCTCCATCCTGCCAGGGCTCTGTCTCTCATCTCTTCTTCTCCCTTCGCAGTTTTAATTTCCTATATGTCAAATACTGACAGATAAAACCCACACGAACAAAAAGCTCTTTGGGGTCCTCAATTTTTAAGAGAATAAAGGGGTCTTGAGACCAAAATATTTGAGCACCACTGGCCCAGGTATTGACCTTAGATATAAGGAAACACCTTCTGGAAGATAAGAGATTATTAAGGGAACCAGTGGACTCAACCATTAGTGGAATAAGAAAAATCTTGCACAGTTAGTTGAACAAGACAGCAGGCTTTTCTAAGACACATCTTGGGTGCCTTGTGAATTCATGTATTATTATAATACAATGCCACTAATATTCCATTCTCAGTCCTATTGTGGCAGAAGACTTAGTTGGCCCTAGGATTGACCTTCACTTTCTATGTGGATGGAAGATGAAATGCATCATCATTAACTCAACACTTATTGATCATGCAGTACCCAGAGGGCTGCTGCTGCTGCTGCTGCTTACTGAATGTCTAATTCCTAGAGCCCACTTGATGGGAACAAAGTTCTAACAAGGTCAAAATCACAGTATCTGCCTCCTAATGAGGAGAAATTCTGTCCTCAGCACAGACTGAGCCTCCTTGCCCACACCAGCCCTTGGGCAAGCGTCTATACTTGGCTTCAGCCAGGATCTGAACACGTGTGGAACTGACATCTCAGTTCTATACCTTTATCCTCATTCCTGGAACAGAAGGGGGGAAAAAACCTTCAAAGACCAGTGGAATCTTCTTTCTTTTTTAAAATGCTTTCTTACTAAAATAACTTTCAGTCCTACCATCTGCATGTAACTATTGTCATTTGCTTTCTGTATGAATAAAGAGTATGCTGATATGGTAAAGAATGTAAGTTCAAAAGAGAAGCTAGAGTTAGGAATTTTAAAGTCCCTAAATTTCCTTAGGGGAATTTTGTTAATTGATGGGAATTTAAAAAAAATTTTTTTTTGTCTTATTTTCACTTCCCCACTTTTTCTCTACTACCTAGTACATATAAGATTGGGACTTTCTAGCTGGTGAGTTTGTGCACCACTCTTGAACCACTCACGCATTTTGATATGACACTACTTCAAGAAGAATCAGATTTTTTTCTTGTATACATTATTTTCATATTTTGCACAACAACATGTTATTTAGAGATCAGATTCTGGTAGTAGTAACTGAGTACTATTCAATCAAGGCATTTTGCTCAAAGGACTGGACATTCAGTATATTTATAGAGCTGGGGGTACCATGGGTGCTGGTTGCCATTGTTCCTTCTTTCTGGAAGTGCTATCAGTAGACTCCTTTCTAAATATCCCTGTTAACAGTGCTCTGAGCAAACCACATCAGTACTTTGTGTCAGTTGCCCAAACCCACCCTGGAAATGCCACATCACTGCAGAGCACTAGGCAGACCAGCATATTCAATTTGATTTAGAGAATGTTTATCGATGCCTTCTCTGGGGTTAACACTGGGCATGACAGCTGGAATTTAGATATCTAGGTGACCAAGATGTTTACCCTCTGCAGATTTTATCGGGCTAACACTATTTCTTCCTGCTTTTGGGAAGCTGTTCTTCCCCCACTGCGAATCATAGTAGTTTACTCCTCCAGACACAGAAGTGGGCATATGACCCAGGCTGGGTCTATCTGAGTCCTTTCCTGTGAACTTTCTAATGTGGTAGGTGATGCTGCCGAAAGGAGGTCTGTCTGATATGAAGTCTGTGTGAGCTTTAGGCTGGTTTTGATTAAAGCTTCAGTTTATTTTCCCGTGTTCTCTTGTTCCTGACCTCTCTTGTTTACTTTGTCCTCAGGTTGACTTTCCTCATGGTAGCAAGCAAGACTGTCATGTTGCACAATTCCAAGGGCATTATTCACTTCCCACAGGTCAAAGACCTCACCCCACCCGAGAATCTACAAACATAATCTTGAGGGTCTATGTGTTCTCTATGCAAATTTTCAAAATAATTTAAGAATTTTCAAACTGGTTTAAATTTCTCCATGGCACTGGACAACAAGAAATGTCATCTTTCAGCCAAGCTCAGTGGCTCACACCTGTAATCCCAGCACTTTGGGAGACTGAGGCAGAAGGACTGCTTGAGATCAGGAGTTCAAGACCAGCCTGAGAAACATAGCAAGACCTCCTCTCTACAAAAAAAATAGAAAAATTAGCCAGGCACTGTGGTGCTTGCCTGTAGTCCCAACTACTCAAGTAAGGTGGGAGGCTCACTTGAGCCCAGGAGTTTGAGGTTGCAGTGAGCTATAATGATGCCACTTCACTCTAGCCTGGGCAACAGAGCAAGACCCTGTCTCAGGAGGAAAGGAAGGAAGGAAGGTAGGTTAAAGAAGGAAAAGAAGGAAGGAATGAAAGAAAGAAGAAACAGGGAAGGAAAGAAGGGAGGGAGGGAGGGAGGAAGAGAAAGGAAAGGAAATGTCACCTTTCTTAAATTGCTTAAATGAAATTAAATTTGGCTGAGACCTCTCTTTATCAAGGGCTGGCAAAACTGGTATCAGTCATTATTGGGACTTTTCTTCCCCTTAATTGTACATTACAAGAAGCCAGGACCTTACATGGCCCTGAAAAATTAAAGGCAAAGCAGCCTCTGGCCATCAGTCTGCACCCATCAGTGTTGACGTTTCTGCCCAACCACTCTTGGGTTCTGGCCCTCTGCCATCTGTTGAACACAGCTGTCCTGGTGGGCTACAAAGATGTCCTTTATGGTCATTATCTTCACTGACTGATGACTCAGCTGTCGAATTACTTTTCTCTCTGCTATTGAATAGTTTGTGTACTTCTTTGTCTTTTCCCTTAAAACTTGAGCTCTTTGAGGAAAGAGATACTGCTAATCTCTTGCTGCACCCCCAGCATGCTTAGCATGATACTTTACACATAGTAGGCACTCAAATTAAGTTATTGAAATGAATGAAGATCTGTCCTGCCAAAAGTTTAGCTAATTTGAAAACATCTGGGACACCTTTAGTTTAATATTTGCCATAAGACTTAGGTATTTGTGGCCTCACCAATACCTTTCTAATTGTAATATACCTTGTATTTATATGTTATTCATCCTGTAAGTATACTGTTCATTGTTTTGTTTAAGAAATCAGTATGTCTAGCTTGTCAAGATCACACTGAATGATAAGCCCTTAATAATACCAGTTTCTCTTATCACCTGTGTGTCACCCAAAAACATGCTATTTGTTTAGCGATATTCCAGTGTATAATTCTATAATTATCATCATCAGAGAGGGACGAACTGTACTCTTTCCACTCACTGATATTTCCTGAGCAATCACTGGGTGAATAATGTCCACTCAAACATTCATTAAGTGCACACTATGAAACCAGCTCAGCAAGGCCGCCTGGAGGATACAAAGACATCTGTCATGCGGTCCCTGCCCTCAGTTTGCTCCCAACTAATTAAAGGGAGAGCCCACAAGTAAAAAGTTCAGTGGTAAATGTGAGGTATGTATTTGACTGGTAAATATATTGCATTTATTCTGATGAGTTCAGTGCCCATTCTGATTGGTTGGCTTTAATTCAGATTGGTGAGGCACCCATTCTGATTGGTTGAGTGTCCATTTTTTTATTATTTGAGCATCCATTCTGATTGGTCAGGCTTCCAATCTGATTGGTCAAATGCTCATGCCAAACTGTTACGTATTTTGCATATCACCACTGGATGCAAAAGTTAAATAAAAATGAGATGATAATACCAAAAAAAAAAAAAACCATTGCCATTAATACATGAAAGTACAATTTCTGCTTAAATAGCAGGTTTGTACAAACCCAGCTTCTAACAACAAAGTCAGCATGGTGTAGAAGGGATGGAAGGACACTGCACATCCTTC